GTACATGCAACATGCACACATTCTGGCTCCGCCTACAAGATCCGCCGGGTGGTACCTCCGCGTTCGACAGTCAGAGATCGTCTACCACCTACGGACAATCACAACATCCATAGCCAAGAGAAAAATTTCTCTTGGAACGGGATTCGAACCCGCACAGCGCACGGCGACTGATCAGGAGACCGAAGGGTCTACTACTGCGGCCACCGCTGCTGCCTCCCTGTTGACTTCCACATGTTTGTAAATGAGTTTGTAAATAGTAATAAGTATAATGACTTTATGGGCTAATTTGTTAATACCTCTTTATGCCAGAAATTATTTAAACTATGTAAGTATTAACAAAGGAACAATTAAACTACATCCAAGATCTGTAGTTGAAAGTATGGGAAATATCAATTAATTCCATCAAAGTGGTTGATCCCAAGCAAAAACCTATATTAGAGTAAAATCAAATACACTAATACCATCTAGATTAAAATCAAATTACATTAAAATATCCACACTAACTAAATAATAAGCCCAAAATTATATCATGCAATTACACGTCTCTTATAGAAAACAAACAACTTTTGTCTCTTAATGGCGGGTGGGACAGTAACATTTTCAAATTACATGAATTCCGGATAATTCTTGGGATATGGGAATATAGCATTAGGTTGGCTTTCTCCGGATAGTATACGTAAATCAGTAATTATAGTCAAGTGCTCATTCCCTCCCAAAAACAGAAAAAAGAGCACAAAATGCAGCGGGTAAAACGACTCTTTTAAGTGTCTGCACATAAAGCGGCAAAGGGCCGGATTTTTCCGATCAGAAAAAAATTAATTAGCAGTGTGCGGTCTTAAAGAGAGGAACATATCAGATTTCAGTCGAGCGCGTTCAAAAGGGCCCAAAGGCTACCGCGTAGGGTCAAAACCCTTTTAAATCGGACCCTTTGTAAACCTCTTATTAGTTTTTGTCGGCGAATCGCACAAAAGAGACGCACAATGAGCGCGGTATTGAATTATATAATGGTAAATACTTTTGCTTTTTATACGGGACGCTCTTGAAGCACCACCGAAACTTTTTTTAATTTTGCGGGAGCCGCTCCGATCCGCTACGCCAGCCCTTTTGCAATATGAAGCTTGGTCTCGTATGCGGTTTAATATTTCTTTTCATGACTACTGCAGATGCACCTTCTAGATGCGTTCGTCCTTATTGCATCTTTAGTGTATTCGGAGAAGCTCTGAGTTACGAAATCCTGAAAGAGGGCATAGCAGGTTCACTAAAACTTGGATGGCTTTTTTATTGAAAATCGTCGTCGATATTTTCTACTGCTTGGGTTATGAGCATAATCTGGATAACCCAAAATGTTTATGAAATCCTTAATACCAAAGCTTCAATGGCTTGTAAAGAACAACCAGCCTGTGTATCTCATATGGTTTATTTTGTGTTTGGCAAGGTGTCTGAATGTTATACAATAGCTGAAACTCTCGTACTAATACGAGGGACGTCTTTTAAGTTTTGCATATAGAAATATATATAGTAGGCCGCGCGGATCGAACGTCAGTACTGAATCTTAACCTCACTCTTTAGTAAACTTAAATTCAAAGTTTCACAACAATACCGTGTTCTCACTACAGTGAATTTTTAAGTGTCACCAAGTCATTAGAAAAATGGAACTGTACCGAGAACATTTTCGCGCCATAATTTATTACAACTTTCAGAGACAATTATCGCAACAAGAATGCCTTGCTGAGTTACTGTCTGTTTTCGGCAACGAAGCGCCACACCAGTCGACAATTTCCCGTTGGTATGGAGGATTCAAACGTGGACGGGTGAGTCTTAGCGACGATCCCATGGTGGGTGCACCAAAAACGGCAGTCAACCAGGAAAACGTCGATGCTGTGCGCAAACTCATAATTGAAGATAGGCATGTGACATATCGAGAGATTGAGGCGTCCTTGAAGATCTCAAGGACCTCAAGTCAAAAAATTTTACATGAATAATTAGGAGTAAGAAAGTTAATTTCTCGTTGGATATCCCACCTGTTGACTGAAGAGCAGAAAGCATCCAGGGTTAATTGGTGTCAAAAAACGCTTGACCGTTTCAATTCCGGAAACTCAAAAAATGTGTACAGCATTGTTAGTGGTGATGAATCGTGGATTTACTGTTATGAATCAGAAAATAAGCGACAGTCTGCTGTTTGGGTGTTCCAAGGTGGAGAAAAGCCAACAAAAGTCATCCGTTCTCAAAGTGTTTCGAAAAAGATGGCCGCGACATTTGGGTCAAAAGCGGGTCATATTGCAACAATTCCTCGTAATGAGCAAAGAACTGTTACTGCGGATTGGTATACCACCATTTGTTTGCCAAAAGTCATCACCGAGCTTCGAAAAATCAACCCCGAAAGAAGAATCATCCTCCACCAAGACAATGCAAGCTCGCACACAGTTCAAAAAACAAGGCAGTATTTAACGGAAGAAAACGTGGAATTATTGGACCATCTTCCATATTATGATCCCGATCTAAGTCCTAAGGATTTGTTTATTTCCCTAAAATTAAAAACAGACTGCGTAGTCAAAGGTTCCAGTCACCAGAAGAAGTGGAATAAGTGCTTCGAAAATTGGTTCGAGTGCATGCAGATGTGTATTAATCTCCGTGGAGAATACTTCTAAAAACAATAAAGTCATTTAAAACTACCTACCGTGTTGTTTTATTTCCATATGCAAAACTTTAAAGACATCCCTCGTATAGACGGGCCAGGGATTACCAGACAGACAGACTGATGACAGACCGACGAAAATGAGTGACATGACATTCAAAAAGCATTATACCTCGCTTACGGAGTTTTTCGCGACTGCAACACATCCACCCACTTTATAGCGGAACATCCTGTACGCTCTTGCTCGCGATGGCACTAACAGCAAACAAGCCTTTCTTTCGTCGTATGGCCATCCTAATGACACACTCAGCTAATCCGCTTTGGAAGTAGGTCTGCCGCATAATGGGAGCACTTACAACGTGGACCGATGCCAGGAGGTTTTGCCATGGCGATGGCACCGATGGCGTACATTACCCGACCACGATCAAATTCAATTTCGGACAAAGCATGGCGTTGCAACATGAAGCTTTCTGGTGATGGCGGCTGGAGCAAATATTGGAGTTACCTTTCTAGCGGACACTTCCTTAAATTGATGTCATATGTTGCGCCCGTTCTCATATACGCTAACCTCATTTCAGGTTGCTCAGTTTATTTTGATGGTCTTTTTGCGAAAAGTCAGTTTAAATGATTTGAGGTTTCGGAAGGAATCGGATTCTTTTCGAATGTTTGCTACTGCGACAAGAACTAAGAATACTGTTGAAACACTGTGGTGTATATAAAAAACGATTGAGATCCGGATGATTACAAACTTCATAGATTTTGATTTGTTTTAGTCGCCGTTCTTGGCGGGTCAAAGTAATACTACCAGTATCCCTCTATTTATCTCCCTCATACAGGGTATCCAATAAGTACCACGACAAACTTGAGGAGGAGATAAGCTTTGGACTGACGCACAGTGTGGTGCCCAATGGACAAAATTACTCAAAAACATAATTTTTGACATTAGAATTCTGTTGCTTTTATTATACCATTGGATAGATAAATAGTCACTGCAACACGTAAGTATAGTACTTTAATCAAGTTGGCTGCGATTTACCTATTTTAGCAACTTTAAAGTTAGACATGTCGAGACCTGTCAAGAAGGCGAAAAATCTCCCTGTTTTATTGTTCGGGAAAGATATAAATTTTGTGTCGACATATTTAAATATTTTAACTTTTCCAATATGGCTGGTAATGAGGCTGGTAAGTAGATTATATTGATGTATAGATTTATTTAAAATATAATTATGATTAGATAATTTTTTAAGTTAAAGTGACTATTACCGAGTTTTTTAATTTTTTTAAACTTGTGACTTTGTTTAGAGTTTTACAAAAATCACCTCCCATCACAATAAAAAAAAATTTATTTATTGTTTATCTGTCCATAGTAAGTTTTGATAAAAAGTTTAAATCACGTCATGCCATGTCTAAGGGAGATATAATATATAATAGGACATGGTGCTATTGTCAGAAATAGAGATTTGATTGATGTGTGGATAGAAGCACCGAGAGGAAATAGAAAACAGGTGGTTTATGAAAAGATATTATCTCTTATTGATATAACAGATGAACCTTCCAAACATCTTAAAAGTAATATTATGAAATGCAGCCAGTTGTTTGGGTTGAAAATGGCAAATAAATGGCAGAAAGTAGGACAATCTCGGAATCGACTTTTACAAAATCAGGTATATTGGTTAGACAAGATTATATATAGAATAAATAATGATTCTGAAGAAAACACATCTTCGGATGAGGAACAAGAACCTCCTTGTCGCTCAGTTGGAAGGCCACGGGTGTAATTTGAAGAGGCATCGAAGAAAACAAAACGAAGACGTGTAGCCGAACTAACCACAGACAGATCTGCAAATGAACTTCAATTTGCTGTAAATGTCGTTTCTTGAAGCAATCACAGTGAGGCCTCGCCACAAATTTTTAGTTTTAGTACAGCTGAAGCTTTAGCCCTTATGGTAGATTTGGATATATCCGTAAGAAAGTATTTGCTACTTAGGTCTGTTATTACTGGTAAGGCCCAGAACTGCCTTCCTAGTTATAAAGAATTACAGAAAACAAAAAATGCTATCCTCCCTTCACAATTTATTACTGAAATTTCTGCAGAAGTTGATTTGCAAGAACTTCTACAGAAAACAGCTGAAAGTATCCTTGAAATAATATATTTTGAAGAGAGAGATTGCCGGATTAAAGTGATATGCAAGTGGGGATTTGATGGCAGTTCTGGGCATAGCCAATATAAGCAGAAATTTTCTGATTTAGAAAACACCGACGAATTTCTGTTTCTTGTAGCAATGACGCCACTCAGATTGATTGATATGGAAACGAATAAGGTATTGTGGAAAAATGAGAGCCCTTCATCTACTTTATATTTTAGGCCGATCAAGTTTTTATTTAAAAAGGAAAATGCTGATTTAGTGCGGAATACGGAAAAGGAAATAATAACAAAAATTGAAAATTTGATTCCTATTGAGATTAAAACAAAAGAAGGGCACTCTTATATAATTGAAATTGATATGATGTTAACAATGTTGGACGGCAGTGTTGGAAACGTTCTATCAGAGACAAATTCAACTATGAAGTGCATCATTTGCGGAGCCACACCCAAGGACATGAACACGTTAGCAGGGATTAACCGTCCTCCTAACGTAGACAATTACCGGTTTGGTTTGTCAAATTTACACTGCTGGATTCGTTTTTTTTTGAATGCTTACTCCATATTGGATACCGCCTGCCAATTAAATATTTTCAGGTTTGTGGGCCTGAAAACAAAGCTATAGTCGAAGCAAACAAAAAACGAATCCAAGCAGAGTTCAGAGCCAAGCTGTCTCTAATAGTTGACAAACCAAAACCCGGGTATGGCTCCTCGAATGATGGCAATACGACCAGAATTTTTTTCCACAATCCACAAACAAGTTCAGATATCACAGGGGTTGACAGGGAATTAATCGAGAAATTTGCGATCATCTTAGGAGTGTCAGCTAGTGGTTGCGCTATTGTGGAAAAGTTTGCGTCATTGCTGGAAGAAGCAAGAAATTTGTATATCCACCTTTATAAGTGGTACAACATGCCAAACACGGTACATTAGGTCCTTGTTCATGGGTGTGAGATAATTGATGCATTTTGTTTGCCCATTGGAGAACTGTCGGAGGATGCGCTTGAGGCTCGCCATAAAGAGGTTAGGAAACATCGATTATCTCACCCCAGAAAATGTTCAAGAACAGATACGAATAAGGATCTCATGCGTGTTCTTTTACTTACTTCTGATCCTTTTATATCCTCAAAAAATATAAGAAATGCAACGAGGCAGTTCAGAACTATTTAAAAAAGCAAGAAAATGATGATTTAGGTATTGACTCAGGTACAATAACGAATGACACAGCACCGAGCAAGAAATCCTATTCCGATTAGAATGGGTATATTTGGTGTTATTTTTTTAATATAGTTTATATTATTATTTCATACATTACCTACTAAGTAATTGTTATTTTGTTAAATATATTTTTTTAAATAAAAACCTAAATATCAATTTCAAATTATACAGATGCATTTTTTATTTGAATTATGCTTATTATTTTTTCAAATAGATAGACAAATTTAATAAGTCATATTCATTCGGTAAAGATCTTGAAAAATAAAAGCGTGACTTTTATGTCTCTATTAATAATGCTATAATAATATCCTACCTTATCCCAATTTATTCGAGATCATCCACTTAATATTTTGACTTTTACAAAAAAAAAAACGATTTATACGAAATGCATCCCGCCTGCTCCCCCACCCCTTCTTATTATTTTAAATAATTCTTGTCATACTTTAGAAAGCTACTTAAATAACTAATGGCCCTGCGTTTACAGAATTCAAATAGGACCACTAGTTTTTAAGATATCGAATTTTGTCCCTGATCCCTGTAAAGGAACACACTGTGTGATGTCCCAAATAACAAAAACTTACCCACATGAAAGTGTCACCGTTTTTGAGATATTGAATTTTTTCTTAAATTTAAAAAAAAAACGAACCCTTTCATCTGTGGTTTTTAGCTGCATGTACAAATGAGGTTATACTTTATCATATATAAATGCAATGTAGTTAAAAGATATTATGGAACCATGATCAAATAAGGACTATTTTGGAATTTGTACCCTTCTGATGTTTTTTCCTCAACTTTGACCATCTGAGGTGAAACAAAAATATATTGGGCTATAACAGCATCATATTGAATAAGAAGATTGCTCATTGAATTCATATTCCAGCAAAGCACCACACGTGCTATTTGGAATAGAAAAAAGTGACAGCTGCTTTTGTTAGTGACTGACACACACTACAATGCAGTTATTGAATTTAAATTCAAGATGCATTGGTTACCGATCAGTGACATGCTAAATAGTACAAAGCGACATTATTATTACCTGCTGCTGATATGATTTTATGAAATTTACTAAAATTCTGACTCGAGTCAGAATATATCCTTTTTTTATTGTAATTGACTATACTCCGAATTCCATTAGGTATCATAAAATAATATCAGGAGCAGTTAGCAATATCGTTGTACTATTTAGCATGTCATTCGTCGGTAACTTAAATTTAAATCCAATAATTACATTGTAGCGTGTGTATCAGACACTTACAAATATCACTTTTTTTGCATTCCAAATAGTACGTTCTGAAATCTGTATTCAATGAGCAATCTTTTATTCAATAAATGCAGTTATAGCCCAGTACATTTTTGTTTCACCACAGATGGTCAAAGATGAGGAAACAATATCAGAAAGTTACAAATCTCAAAATAGTCCTTATTTTATCATGGTTCCTTAAAATCTTTTCACTACATTGCATTTGTATATCATAAAGCAACTATCTAGAAGTATTTTACAGAACAAATCAACAAAGTGTAACCTTATTTGTAGATGCAGCTGAAGACCACAGCTGAAAAAGTTCGTTTATTTTTTTAAATTTAAGAAAAAATTTAATATCTCAAAAACGGTGAGACTTTACATAGGTAAGTTTTTGTTATTTGGGAGGTCAGTACAAAGCCTACCTTCTCCTTAAGTTTGTCGTGGTACTTATTTGCACACTTGCAACCTACCCTTTTTCTAATCGTCATTGTCTGTCAGCTCTTGGTTAAAGTCTTTTAAGTCAGTAGGTCTGTCAGGTCTGGTTGCCCAGATACCAAACAAAACCCTTGTTCGTGAATGTTTGTTCGGTAAGCTCAAGGACATACCTTTTTTAGTTGATTGTCTCCGTCTCAAAAACTTTTTCGCTACGTATGAGTGCCCTTCGATCATATTTGTCAGAGTGACAACCTGCTTGACACTGGCGTACAGCTTAAGTTGTCCTTTCGTCAATCTGCAATATAAAATTGTACATAAAATATGAAGAGAGTAGCAAATCCGTTGAAGATTAGTCTGCGCAGTGCTCAGCGAACAAAAACAGAAAATAAGAAAGGTTTGCCCATAGTAACACCTGGGAACACTGACAAAATAAAAAAAATGCAAGACCGATGATGTAAGTGATGCCGCTAAAACAGAAGTCAGGAATACTTTCTACGATATGAGAAGTAAAGGACGACATACTAGTATCCTGACTTCTGTGCTCAAGATCTGCCCATGGTACGGAGACTCGATTTGTTCACTTATTTCGTATGGCGTTGATGACGTAACCGCCATGAACGGTGACTACAACTATAGATCAGTTCGTCTTTGATGGAAGCAGTCAACGTTTTGAGTTACTTAGACATCCTGTTAAAGATAAAATGTAAAGTATACGTGCTTTAATGGCCTTATGTGGTAGATATAAATGTTTTCAGTAAGGTAATACGCTTATATAACTACATACATTTTGTTCTGGGCATTTACGCTATAGCTAAACATTGAAACCTAACACACCACTGCCAAAAAGGTGCATAGATTGTCATACCTCTATACACTTTTTGTCTGGACTCTATACACTTCATACGATAACGTCAATAACAGAACAACAAATTTCGCCCCAAAGTAGGATTTACATGTTTTCTATTAGCATTTTAAGGCACCACAAAGTATATTTCAACAGTTTTTTATATTTTTCTCTTAGAAGTACAAATTCGATATAATTCGCATCGAGCCAGAGCTTTTTCCTTCCTTCTCACCCAAAGCTCAGCTGAGTCAGAAATACCCTATTCCACGAGTATCAATCACGCTTTGACATCTATTGAGGTGAACAGCTGTTCAGCAAGTGTCATTTTAGTCGGCCACGTTGGCAATAATGAATGGGGTATAAAATCTAGTACATTTTTTTTGTGGGGTTATGTTTGTAGTATGCAAATGAACTTTGCTAAATAAAAAGCTGTTAGAATGAAAAAAATGAATCTGTAACGTACAAAAACCAAAATAATATACGGCTCTGTGCCGATATGGGGAATTTTGACATATTACTAGATAATCAGCAGTCATTCCATCGTGATGGATACTCGTGAAATAAGGTATATGTCCTCACTTGCAGCTTTTAGGTTAAGTATATTGCAACTGCAAAACGAACTCAATTATAGTCGGGCGAAATTCGAATGTTTCACGTAAGTCTACAATACGCTTATCCCAGTTTTAGAAAAAAATGTTAATGCGGAGACCTGCTTATGTTTCTTCAGTTTAGATTAGGCTTTGGTCAGTTTTGATGCTTTGATAACAATTCTCGTAATAACTATGATAGAATTAAAAAAAAGACTATTTCGCAACATAATTGCAACAGTAGCCAAACATGTAGACATCTGTGATGAGGCAAGACAAATGGAAAGATGCCGGTTGAAAAAGGATAAACGGTTATGAGAAGCAATGAGGGTTATACACATCAAAGGCATCGCTGTGAGGATGCGAGACATCGAGGTATATTCGAGAAACTCCCTATATGTTTGCTTAGTAAGCCATTGTTGATCCACTTTGTAAATACTTTGTATTCCGGTTAGTAAAACCAGTGGCGAAGCGTCCATGTAACTATTGTTACCATTGGTAACAGTTAAAAATATTAAAAACAAATATTTTATTACTAAGTACTGTGAAATAATTTCATTTATTTGTTTACCAACAGCCATATGTAATAATAATTCAGTAAATAGCAAATTAGACCCACGAAAATAATGCGATCAACTACTTGAAAAGTCATTGTCCTTGTATAATTTTTAAGAAGAAATGAAGATCATTGAAGATATAAAACCAAAATCTACTTTAGATAATTTTAAAAAGGAATAAAAAACATAGTTTGATATTTTAAATTAAGTTGGTATATGGAAACTCTTGGTTATGTGGTTGCAAAAAAACAGATTGTATTGTTGGCGATGTCTTCTGTTTTATACAGAAAAAAATGGGTGGACCAGCAGCGGATCAACGATTTAAATAGTTTTAGGGTTCTAAAGAGGAGACATGAAATTTCTCCGTTACATGGGAGATGTGTAGCCAATTTAGTTCAGTTTGGCAAAACAAGAATCGAAAGTTGTCTTTTTAGGCAGCACACTTATAGATACCGTATGTTTTTTGGCAAAACTGGAATTACCGTTCATTTTGAAGGGGATGACTCTGACAATAAAGGAAATTACAGGGAATTGTTAACATTCATTGCCATAAAAGATCAAAAATTTTCCGAACATCTAGAAACGTCGACTGTTTTTTCGGACGGCTTGGATTAGTCATAGCATAAGACGATGAGGTATATCAAGTGCCCCAGACGCTCAGTCCATCAATGTTTACCTTAATTTAAAAATAGTTTAAATAAAATACCTAAAATAAGCAAAAACTTATATTTGGGAGGTTCAAAATAAACTGTTTTTGGTAACAGCTTAGGAAAAGTCACGCGTCATCACTGAGTAAGACCATTGCGCATTGGTACGCCAGACTTTTCGCCTACCTCCGCACTTGAAGTTTTCTTTTTAAATCAATCTGAAATGTTAGCACACCAATAAGGGACAATGGACACATTATTTTATTACTACCATCATTATTTTATTTTCCTCTAATGCATAATCAATTTATTGTCTAATATTCGGTAAATGCAAAACATGCCAATTTCCAGATGCGTGGAGAACTGCAAGAGTGTGCCCCGTTTTCAAATCTG